ATTTTGTTTGTTTTGAAGTCATTCTTTTTCAATTATCCAGCGTTAGCTTTTTCCTCCCTTCCATCTCCTCCCACCTGCTGAAAAGAAAGAAATTGAGAACCTTGTAAAGCTTAGTCAAGTGTAACAGATTCCCATGTTGGCCATATGCAAAAATCCATTTCTTCTGCATATTATTCCATCATTTTTTGTCATTCTTTAAACATAACTTTTCACTACCCTCATGTCCAACCTCCTGATTTATTAAAAAAAGAATTTAATGTGGAAATTGTGATATAATTATACAAGGGAATAACTTTCATAGACTTCTATGTGATTTGTCACACAGATGATGAGAGAAGTCATGAGCTATTCCAGCCCAGGCCTTGCATTGGGCCTTCCAAAGCTAAAACAGCTGACAGTTTTCTTTCTAGAGACGCATGAGCTAGATGCCAGAGAAGAATGTTATCCCCATCATATAAGCATAAACTTAATGAAGATAATATGGCAGTTGATATAAGAAGTTTTGAAAAATAAGACAGTCCTCAGCTTACAAATAGGACATGTTCCAAAGGTTTATGTATAAGTCATTTGTCTTGGAATGCATTTCCTCATAGAAATAATGTTATATATGTGGTAGTTAGATTTCCAGGCCAGCTTACAAAAACCCATTTAACCCATCATAAACTTGATGTGCTCTACACTATATAGAACAATATTTCCATGGGAAAATGCAAGAAACAAGGAGGCAGAGCCAAGATGGCGGAGTGAAAGCAGTGACTGGCTTGAGCTCTCCTCCAAACCCCTCCAAATACTCATAAAAAATGGCTCTAAACAAATTCTGAAGCAGCAGAACCCACAAAAAGACAGAGTGAAACAAATTTCTAGCCCAAGACAACCTGGATGATTGATCAGAAAGGTGTATCGCGCCAGGTTGGGAGCACAGTGTGGCATGGGCCTTGGGCAGGCCTCAAAGGACTGAATTGCAGGCGGCTTCCAGGTTTCCAGACTCCTCAACCCACCAATGCCGAAGACAACTTAGGTCAGTGGGAAAAGTCTGTTTCTGTCGGTACTGAGAAAGGAAGTCGGGGTTTCAGCTCCATTCCCCAAGAGCGTGGCGCTGGGGGGGCAGCTGCTTCCCGATTTTCAGGCCCACAGACTGAGGGGGAATCCAGTGGGTGATCAGAGAGGGATTGCAGGGATCTCTTTGCCAGTGCTGAGGCAGGAATCTCTTGCTTTGCCTGTGTTTGGATCTGGGTCACAGTTCTGGGCTGCGGTGCTGGGGTCAGGAGGAGTGCTGGCTTGGTGGAGCTTGTAGTGATTGTGAAGGGGAGCCCCTCCTCACAGTTACAGGACAGAAAGGAGTACTTGTAGTCACAGGCCAGGAAAGGAGTAAACACCTCGCCCCTTATCATACCACCTTGGAAGAACTGAAAATTTACAGGTCCCTACAAGTATCTCTGAAAACAGCTATACAAACCCCAAAGCTTGGGACAGTACATTCTCCACATTGGAAGCAGATTCGTACCTTAACAAAGAGTTTAAAACTCAAGTAATTGCCAGGATCATGAGCAAGCAGCACAAAAAGAGTCAGACTATATTATCTTACTTTGGTGACAAAGAAGATCAAAATATACAACCAGAAGAAGACAACAAAGTCAAAGTTCCTACATCCAAAGCCTCCAAGAAAAATATGAATGAGTCCCAGGCCTTGGAAGAGCTCAAAAGGGATTTTGAGAAGCAAGTAAGGGAAGTAGAGGAAAAACTGGGAAGAGAAATGAGAGTGATGCAAGAAAATCATGAAAAACAAGTCAACAGCTTGCTAAAGGAGACCCAAAAAAATACTGAAGAAAATAACACCTTAAAAAATAGCCTAACCCAAATGGCAAAAGAGGTCCAAAAAGCCAATGAGGAGAAGAATGCCCTAAAAAGCAAAATTGCCAAATGGAAAAGGAAGTCCAAAAGCTTACTGAAGAAAATACTTCCTTAAAAATTGAATAGAGCAATTGGAAGATAGTGACTTTATGAGAAATCACGACACAGTAGAACAAATCCAAAAGAATGAAAAATTAGAAAACAATGTGAAATATCTCATTGGAAAAACAACTGACCTGGAAAATAGATCCAGGAGAGAGAATTTAAAAATTATTGGACTATCTGAAAGCCATGATCAAAAAAGACCCTAGATATCATCTTTCAAGAAATTATCAAGGAAAACTGCCCTGATATAGAACCAGAGGGCAAAATAGAAATTGAAAGAATCCACAGATCTCCTCCTGAAAGAGATCCCCAAAGGAAAACTCCTAGGAATATTGTAGCCAAATTCCAGAGTTCCCAGGTCAAGGAGAAAATATTACAAGCTGCCAGAAGGAAACAGTTCAAGTACTGTGGAAACACAATCAGGATAACACAAGATTTAGCAGCTTCTACATTAAAGGACCGCAGGGCATGGAATATAATATTCTGGAGGGCAAAGGAGATAGGATTACAACCAAGAATCACCTACCCAGCAAAACTGAGTATAATCCTTCAGGGGAAAAAATGGTCATTCAGTGAAATAGAGGACTTTCAAGCATTCTTGATGAAAAGACCAGAGCTGAATAGAAAATTTGACTTTCAAATACAGGACTCAAGTGGAACATGAAGAGGTAAACAGGAAAGAGAAATCATAAGAGACTTATTAAGATTGAACTGTTTACATTCCTGCATGGAAAGATGATATTTATAACTCATGAGACCTTTGTCAGTATTAGGGTAGTTGGAGGAAAAAATTATATGTATGTATATATAGATAGATAGAGGGCACAGGGTGAGTGAAGATTAAGGGTCATATCTGGAGAATAAAATTAAGGGATGAGAGAGGATTATACTCAGAGAAGAAGAAAGGGAGAGGTAGAATGGGGTAAATTATCTCAAAAAAAAATCTCTTACAGTGGAGGGAAATGGGGAAGGTGAGAGGGAATGAGTGAATCTTATTCTCATAGGATTTGGCTTAAGGAGGGAATAACATTAATATGGAAATCTGTCTTACCCTACAGGAAAATAGGGGGAGAAGGGGACAAGAGAGCAGGGATGATAGAGAGGAGGGCAGATTGGGAAAGGGGTAATCAGAAGTAAATACTTCTGAGGAGGGACAGGGTCAAAAGAAAGAATAGAATAAATGGGAGGGCAGGATAGGATTAAGGGAAATAGAGTTAGTTTTTCACAACACTACTATGTCATAACTGCACACAACCTATATTGAGTTGCTTGCCTTTTCAGTGAGGGTGGGTGGGGAGGGAGGAAGAGAGAAAATTTGAAACCTAAAGTTTTAAAAACATATGTTTTAAAAAAAATGTTTTCACATGCTACTGGGAAATAAGAAATATAGGAAATGGGGTAGAGAAGTCTGTCCTGCCCTACAGGAAAATAGAAGGAGAAGGGGAGAGAGATAGAAGAGAGGACAGACTAGGGGAAGGGATATTCAGAATGCATGCCATCTTGGGGTGGGGGGAAGGGGGAGATGGGGTGAAAATTTGGAACTCAAAAACTTGTTGAAATGAATGTTGAAAACTAAAAATAAACAAAATTATATTAAAAAGAAAAAAGAAATAGGAAGAGTAAATTAGAGGGCCTCAGAAAAGAAGGCCTCTACATAGCTCAGTAGATAGACCATGAGACTTGGAGTCAGGAAGACCTGAATTCAAATCCAGTTTCAGATACTTCCTAGCTTTGTGACTCTGGGGAGGTCACTTGACCTCTATTTGCCTCAGTTTTCCCATCTGTAAAATGAGGCTATTAATAGCACCTACATCACAGGGTTTTTTCAAGGATCAAATGAATTAACACGTGTAAGGTACTTTGTGAACCTTAAAGCAGTATACAAATGGAAACTACTACTTTTGGAAAATCCATGGAGAAAAACTATCAAATATAAAAAAAGAAATTTTAAAAAGGGAAAAAAAAAGAAAATGCAAGAAACAAACCTGCCCCAGCTCTGAGGCACAGGTTTGGGTTCCTAGAACTTCATGGAGGCTGTAGGAATGAGAGACATAGGAAAAAAGGTTCCTTCTTTTCATTCCCCGTTCTGGGGAAGGAAGCATAGAGGTAGTGTTCCCATGGCAATGACAGAATGAACTTTTCTGTCCCATCCTCCCCTTCATCTTCTTTCTCATCACTCCGTATACCACCGTGACACTATAACACAGTACCAGCAAACACTGGAATGAAGTGAGAAGTAAGGAATCAAAGTGGCAAATAGTATAGAAAGAACATCAACCTCTTAGACCTCTTGGGAAAGAAGGAAAGGGGGAAAGAATCCCCCAGTGGAAAAGAGGAGGCCCCAAACCAGGTGGGGTGTCATTCAGTATAGAACATAACATCACGCATAGGTTATGATCATTTCAAGCTTGAATAGACCTCAGGCCATCTAATCCCAACCCCTCATTTTACAGATAGGTAAACGAAGGCCCAGGGAGATTAACTTGCCCAAAGTTGTTTTAGATAAATGCATTAGAGATAAAATATGAACCAAGGTCCTCTGTCCATAGCCATATGATCATCTGGGAGTCACAATTTCTCACAGTCTTAGTTTCTTCTATAAAATCAAAAGAGTAGCGAGGTGGTGCTGTGGTTAGAGTGCCAGGCCTGAAGTCAGGAAGACATACCTTCATGAGTTCAAATCTGGCCTCAGACACTTACTAGCTATGGGACCCTGGGTAAGTCATTAACTCTGTTTGCCTCAGTTTCTCATCTGTAAAATGAGCTGGAGAAGGAAATGGCAAAGCATTCCAATATCTCTGCCAAGAAAACCCCAAGTGGGGTCATGAAGAATCAGACGTGACTGAACAATAACAACAAAAATAAAATCAAAGGAATTTGATTTTAAATGGTCCCTATGGCACTATCCAGCACTAACATTCTAAAGTCCTATAATAATATAATTACTTACAAGGAATTAATGTTATCAGTAACATCATGTCCACAATGTGATTAACTGCTTGAATTTGTTCTGTTGATGTTCACACGTTTTATCATTCCCACAGATGAGCACTATGCCAGGACTACCTACTCGACCATGCTTTTATGATATAGATCTCGACACTGAAACGGAACAGGTGAAAGGCTTGTTCTGATAGAACTTGCAACCATCATGGGTAAGCTGTAGCTCTTCCTTCTATTCAAAAATGCAAAGACAAGAAAAGTGTTAGCATTAGTGGTGGTTTTGCCAAGGTGTATTGAAAGTTTTTTGTTAGAATGACAGCTTCTAAGATGTTAATACCCATATTCCCTTATAAAAATAATTTGTCAGTATCTTCATTCTGCTTTATTGAGTGCCTACGGTGTGCCAGGCAGTGTGCTAAGAGCTCCCAATATAATGGGGGAGAGAATGTGCGAACAACTAGATATTAAGAAGATATATACAAGAGAAATTGAGGCATAGTCTCAGAGAAAGGGGACTAAGATTAAGGAACACTGGGAAAGGCTTCCTTTCGAAGGTGGGACTTTAGCTGAGACTTTAAGAAAGTCAAGGGAGATCGGAGGCAGAGATGAGGAGAGAGAATTCCAGGCATGGGAGACAGCCAGTGAAAACACCCGAAGTTGGGAGGTGGAGCATCATGTAAGAGAAACAGCCAGGTGGCCAGTGTCTCTGGAACACAGACTATGTGGAAAGGAACAAATGTAAGAAGACTAGAAAGGTAAGAGGAGGCCAGGTTACAAAGGGCTTTAAAAGCCAAACAGAAGATTTTGTATTTGATCCTAGAAGAGATAAAGAGCCATTGGAGTTTATTGAATGGGGGCGGGGCAGTCTGATGTGGTCAAAGTTGCACATTAGGAAGATAATTTTGACAGCTGAGTGGAAAATGTATTGGAGTGGGAAGAGACTCGGGCAGGAAAACCAACCAGCAGGTTGTTACAGTAGTCCAGCCATGAATTGATGAGGGCCTACAATACAGTGATTGCAGTATCAGAGCAGAGAAGAGGGTATATTTTAATTTATTTAATTAATATTTCTTTATTTCTATCGTGTAATTATTTATTTATTTGGTGTTTTGGATTGTTTTCCGGAGTTACATAGCAATAACATGGGTAACTAGAGGCTTCGCTAAATATGGTCAGCAGGTAAATCCCCTTTACAAAACATGCATTGGTTCCAAAAGTCTTGTCCCTCATGCACATAAGGACCCCATGTTAAGAACTCCTCTTGTACAGATCTCTTGTTACCTGTCAGAGATATTGGGATGACTAGGCTGTCATCATTAGCCAACATATTATTTGGTGTTCTTACTTATCAAGGTTGATACTAATTTTGGTAAAGTGTATTATAGGTTATATTATTCAAGTATCCCCTCAATCAGGGAAAGCGCTCCCAAAGTCAACCAGAACACATAATTTAAAATGCTCTCTACTTCCAGATGGAGAGCTGATAGACTCTGAGTGCAGATTGAACCATTTTTTTCTCCTTTCACATATAGATAGATAGATAGATAGATAGATAGATAGATATAGATATATATGTATAGATAGATAGATAGATAGATATAGATATATATGTATAGATATATATAAATGTATGTGTTATATAAATGTATGTGTATATATGTATGTGTATATATATGTATGTGTGTGTATATATGTATATGTATATATATATATGTGTATATATATATATATATATATATGTATGTGTGTGTATATAGATATATATATATAGCCACAACACAGCTAATTTGGAAATAAGTTTTGACTTCATAAGTATAATGGATATTGTATTTCTTGCCTTCCCAATGGTGAGGGAGATGTATAGGGAAGGAGAGAATTTTGAACTGAAAATAAGAATTAAAAACAAAATAATAAGAAAAAAAGGAGAAAGTCAACCAGAAAATTCTTCTGAATTGGCAAGGCACTCCATCTCCAGGCTCTGAGACTTCTCACTGGCTATGCCCCATGTCTGGAATTCTCTTTCTTCTCACTCTCTGCCCCCTAACTTCTCTGGCTTTCTTCAAGTCCCAGCTTAAATTCCACTTTCTGCAAGAAGCTTTATTCAGTACTCCTTAATAGTAGTACCTTCCCTCAGTTGATTATCTCCAATTTATCCCCTTATGTATCTTGTTTGTATATAGCTGTTTATGTATTGTCTGTGCTATTCAGTTGTGCGCTTCTCAAGAGCAGGGACTATCTTTTACATTTCTTTGTGTCCCCCAGGTCTTAGCATAGTGCTAGGTACATAGTAGGCATTTAATAAATCCTCACTGATTAACTGAAAAGTAGCTTTAAATCAGTCATTTGGGATCTTCTGAATCTAGTTCCTTGCCTTTAGGGAAGAGATATTATAACTACATGCAAAATTACCTAAGAGCTCTTTCTCTCTTCTTCTATTTCTGAAATCATCAGCATAATCTTAATGCCCTTCCATCCTAAAATATAATTGCGTATTCTGTTAGAGTTTACATATTACCTTTAGAAAACATTCTGTTTCTTCTCAGCCTACCCTACTTCTGTATCTGTGTTCTCTTATCTCCACGTGACATACTCCAGACTTCTTCCCATCTCTACTTTATTAAAGATAAACTTTGCCTCTGGTTGGTAACAAAATATATTCACTTTTGGTTCAATATCTGTATAGTAAATGAGGAAAGGTCGAGATTTATTTTCTGTATGTATCCTCTTGCACCTGATATGATGGTACTTTGCACATAATAAATGCTTAATTTTTTTAAAAATCAAAATCTCATGTAAAAAAGAAAATGTAGAAAATTAAATTGAAGAAACTAAATAATTTAAAAGAAATCTCAACTTCCATGAACAAACACACACATGCACACTCACACACACACCCCTCACAAATAGAAACTTCTCTTTTAACAACGAGGGTGAAGCAAAAGAAATCAACTAGACTGCCTGTGGATGCTTCTTTCTGCACCTGTCAGCCCCCACTCTTCCAAGAAGTGAGAGATATTCCTCACCATAATTTCTCTGAAATAATCAGTGGTCAGTCACCACACTGAGCAGAGTTCTTCTGTCTTTCAGTGTTGTTTGCCTTTATAGTAATAATGTAATTGAGCCAAACAGTCCTGCATCTTTAGCTGTGATTACAGTACTGGTTTTGATTTTTCAGCTTAGCAAATTGCCCTACTACATTCCTTTTTTTGGTGCTTATGTTTAGTCTTCCTGACTCCATCCAAATTGTTGTGCTAGTTCTGATTATTGTTGTTGTTCGGTCATTTCAGTCACATCTAACTCTTCGTGACCCCATTTGGGGTTTTCTTGGCAAAGGTATTGGAGTGGTTTGCCATTTCCTTCTCCAGATGAGGAAACTGAGGCAAATAGGGTTAAGTGACACACAGCTAGAAAGTGTCTGAGGTCAGATTTGAACTCAAGATTTTTTGACTCCAGGTCTGGTGCTCTATCCACTGTACTCCCTAGCTGCCTGATTTCATCTGGAGAAGAAAATGGCAAACCACCCCAGTATATTTGCCAAGAAAACCCTAAATGGGGTTACAAAAGAGTTGGACACGATTAAAAACAACTGAGCAATGTTTAGTCAGTGTGAAGTTTCTTACACTCTGATTGGAAAAAATCACAATCTTCTTAAACTGAAAATGGACAGGCCCTTGTCCTAACCTCTTTCTGCATGTCAAGTCTCATCTTCTTTATGTATTACATGCCTTTATGTGTTTTAAATATTATGTCTTAGATTATATACTGCATACTAAAAGCATCATGGAGACAGTCTAGTATTTACCTTGCTAGGAAAGATTTAAACATTAACCAAAAACCTACATTTACTAGGGATATTACCGTAGCCAGAATCTGTTCACATGGATTGGTTCTCTCGTTTTAATTCTCATTACAGAGGCAATTGATCTTTTATCCACGCTGCAAACTGATACTATTTCAACAAACCCACTTTTTGGTTCTCCTGGTTGATAGTTTTATCCAATATGGTAGAAGTTTAGGTATTAAAGGACAAGTTTTGTACAAAACAGTGCATTTTGCCAAAATTTTATGCAAATGGCAGCACTGTTAGCTTCTGGTTGGATTTTGGTTTTTTGTTTCTGTGCTCTGTTTCCTGTTTGTGAACTTATGTGCACTTTTGTAGGCTTTGGGAATGGTAATTTAGAACTCATTATTTGACCCAGCTCAAATAATCTAAAAACGGATTCAGTCTCCTAAGATAAGCCCTTTTTCACAAAGCACACATTCTTTCTGTAACTCTTTAGTTGAATGGTCCAGCCAGCGTATTTGCTACTGTGTTATTAGAGTTCACTTCAAATGCTGCTAGCAAAAAGACTTTAACAAAGGATGCATTAAACAAAAACATGTAAGTTTGGGTCTTAATCAGCTTAGGTAAGCTATTGAAAGTAAAAGGAAATGTTGGAGTGGCATGATTTATTATCAAATACAGCCAAACTAGAAAATTATGTACATTCAGCTTTATATTAATAAGGTTATTATTCCTTAGGGAGGATGCTAGTGACATCCACAGCATACAGGGAAAGACTATTCTATTGAATATAATGATTTTTTTATTTTCATATCCCAACCCTTCCCACCCTTGTCCCTAGGAGAGTACATGAGAATGTAATGGGAACTTGAGATGCTGAGAAATAACCAGAACCTAAGCTTTCCTTCAGTCCAAGATCTCACCTGCAGCTCTTTTTAACTATTGTTAGCACAAGGGCATGACTCATTCTTTTGGATGTCAGCACCTAGAAGTGTTGCACATGCAGTTTATCCAAAGGAGAGGGATCCCAAATCACATTCTCCTTCCCTTCCTCTGCTTTGTAGCTATTAGGGTTTTGTGTAATGGTGGATTGAGGGTGACTGTTTTCTTTTAATCGATTAAGACTAGAGTCTAGTGTATTCCACTGAAGACATCCAGGGAATCGCTCATTACATGTATAAAGTTTTACAAGTTTATATTTTCATATAAAAATAGGTTGATAGTGTTCATTTATAATTTGTGTAACATCCCCTTTCTGGAAGAAAGGGTACCATACTTTATCCCTATGTGCAGAACTCCCTGTGTACAAACACTAGTACAAATTGGCAGTTCACTTCTTGTTTTTTCAGCTTAGAGTTGCCTGGGGCATTGAAAGGTTAAGTGACTCAGTCCTGATCACACAGCTCATAGGTGTCAGAAGGAGTTAAATAAATCTTCCTGCCATCAAGGACAGCCCTTCAACAGTTCTTCTCTTTGGAGCAGGGATTATTTGGCTACTTAATTATTAATTAATCTCAATTGAAATGTCTTGGTCACCAAAAGACCCAAAGTTAACAGCCAGGATATCACACGGATCCTGTGCATCTATTCTTCTATATGTCCATTGGGATTTAAGAAAAAGATTGGAGTCATATGACCAGCAAGATGGACAATTATGCATTTTCTGTTATACTCTATTCTCTCAGACTTCTCCAAAACAGAAATTATATTTCAAAGATTAGGCAACTTAGGCTGGCTCCATGGTCTAGGACACCAAGAACCCAAAAGGAGGTAAAACTTCCGTAAATTAACACCTAACTCACACTCAGGAACCCCTCTCCCCCCCCCAGGTCCACCATCATCCCAGCAGCAAGGCTATCAGGGCCAAAGAACTGAGAAACGGAGGGAATGGGACAGGACATCATGTGTGGGAGGGCTGTGTGGCACTACAATAAGCCCGAGGGAAAGAACAAAGCACAGAGTTCCATCCCTCCAAAGGCCATTTGGGGCAGAAACTAGGCTGGTGAACCATCATTTGCCCAGTATGGAAAGGGAGTCAGTAAGTGAGCAATAAGGGAAAATAAGGGGGAAAGAAGACTGAAATTACTGAAGGCCTCAGGAGGAAGAAAACTTAAAAACGTTGCACATAAGCAGATAAACCAACAGGGAAAGAAAACATTGACAACAAAAGGAAATAAGGCCTCCAGCTCTAGTAAACAAATTCAGGCATCTATGAATAAATACTACAAAACAAAGGAAAATGATTCAGCACCTGATGGGACAGAGTACTCTGTGTTTTAAGGAGAGTTTGTAACCACAACACACTTTTCTTGAATGGTTTAAAAGAGAAATGAAAATTGTGAGCGTAGAATTTGTGGCCTGCACAGCAGAAATAATGAGCAGAATAGAAAAACAAGTCTTAGAGAAACAAAAAAGACAGATGATTGAGATTATAAATACACTGAAGTTAAAAACAATCTGGAATCAGAGAAGCAAAAAGCAGTAGCTTTAAAAGAAAGCATGCCCCTTATACAAACAAAACATTGATCTGGAAGACAAAATGCCTGAGGATTATGGGTCACCCAGAAGAACGTGGCAAGGCAAAAAACCTGGATACCATAAATGCCAGATAACAAGAAAATTACCCAGAACTTCTGAACACAAAAAACAAAACCAAATGAAAGATTTCAAAACATCAGTTGCCTCTGGGCGGGTTGGGAACCCAGACTGTAAACTCTAGTTCGCATCATGGTTAAATTTAATAGTTGCCATTTAGAAATGACAAATTCTGCAAGTGACCAGGAGAAACACCTTCAAATATAAAGGAAATTTGAATAAACCATTTCTTCCTGCCAGCTTATATAAGGTATAATGTGTTTTAACCTTTTCTGGATGACTTGAAATCATCGTTATGCGTCTCAGTGTGATATGGCTTATTGTTTTATGCATATTTATTCTGCGGTACTATGATAGTGGCCACAAAGGCCAAAACTAAGGCTGTTAGATGTCTCCCAGACCACTGTCCTTTTTTGGTACTTATGTCTGCATCTGATAGTTTTTGACGTTGCCTGCAGCTGTCATTTTACTTCATTGTGCTTGCTATTAGCAACTTTAACCCAACTCACTCCAAGTTTGCTTCAGCAGCCTGGAAAAGTAGGTAGCTTAACTCAGCAGGCCTGGAATACCTTTCAGCAACAGATGTATGTCCTTGGGACCAATTTTGGCTACTCGAGGACTTTTTTTTTGTTCATTCCCTATTCTTAGCTGTTTCTAGATGATGGAGATTGCTAGATAAATGAAATAAATACTGTACTAATTAAGGCATGTGGTGACATTATTGAATAATTATCAAAATGAGCTTTTTGGAAGCTACAAGAAATTAAAGACAAAAAGGTATCCAAGTAATCAGGACTGCTACATGGTGAAATAGTATGTTGGGCTTAAAGGGAAGAAGACTGAAGTTCAAATCCTACCCCAGACACTTAACTAGCTATGTTTCCTTAGGCAAGTCACTTAACCTGTCTGTGCCTGTTTCCCTAGCTGTGAAATATAGGGTTGTTGTATGGATAAGGTAAGATAACATATAAAGTGCTTGGCAAATCTTGTACCATATGAATGTCAGCTGTTTGTGATAACATTTTATTTTTCCTCTTCATTGATGAATTTTCATATTTTGAACCTTTTGGGCTTCATATTGGCTCTTTCTCCCTTTCCACCATCCAGATAACTCTGCTTATTTCCAGAGTTAAAAGCCACTCCTTGCTGAGATGCAGATTTCTCTAGGGCTGATGTTGTTAATAAAAGCTAGTGTTTATTTAGTGCGTCTGGGTCTGCAAAGGACTTTAAATATTACTAGAAAAACAATTAGATATAGGCATCTGTGTTATAGCAAAAATTTGGAAACATGACCACCAACGAAAAAACATATTGTGGCCTTAAATCATTCTTCATTCTCTTTAAAAGAAATGCATCCCAACTCCTTTTTTCACTACAATCACTTTTTTCATTCTAGTTTTTAAATAGAATTTTCATTCTAGTTTTCATACTTCCAGTCCCAGTTTCCTACATTCTTATTCTATTTGTCATATACTCCTTTACTGAATAAAAAGCCCAATTTATCTTTTCCCTTTTCAGAGAATAGGATTTTTTTGTGCCTTTGCCAACCGTTCCAACAACTTTTCTGTTAGCGGGGGACCACAAGCAGTCAGCAGGTTGTCATAGAGCAAAATATAACCAGGTTATAAAGAAGCAAACATGACAAGGAGATGGTTCTTCACTGACCATTACTGGGCACGGTTGTCTAACCTGTTCCAACCCGAGATCCTCACCAGTCCACATCACCTTACTACCCCCCAACTCCAGCTTCTCTCTGTCCTTGGACCTTGGATTCAGGACTGAAGCTTTCTGAGTCCTCCCTCACTGGAGTCCTAGACTGGTGTCTGAATATGAGACTGCCTTGGCACCAACCTTTGACCGGTTGAAATGTTTTCTTATGATTCCTATTTACTCTGTTGCTACAACCTCTCAGCACTCTGTTTTCTTTCCTGATTATAACCAGACATTAAGATGAACATTTGAAGTTTCAAATTCCCTTTCTTCATCAGTGTCTTCCCTTTTGAAGCTACTCTAGGATACTTTCTGGCTCCAGACTGTTCAGGAATCTGTGGGAGGTCAGCTTTATATTTCAGTGGAATTGAACTCTAGGCATAACAGATAAATTCCCATATGTATCAATTCAGATTATACTCTAAATACTTAAAGCTACATTTTTACATTTTTTAGAGAGATTATCTTTGATCACTTAAAATTTGCAAGATTGAAACTGTAAAATTACCAATCCCTCCCCCTATCATACTAGCCCATAGGTATCCCCCATATCTCCTAGTGCCATTATAAAGGGAGGGGGGGAAACCTTATCTAAAGAAAAGGAGCCGCCATTCTGGAGTCATGCAAGTTCAACTGCATTGAACTAACTCCTGGAGACAGAAAGCAGGTTTAGAAGACATGGAACTTTACGTCTCACAATAAATCATTTGTGAAGCTCAGAGTACAAGTTAGATAATCCATCCTGCCTCCTGGCTACATTGTATTTTTCAGGAGTTTTTGTATCACATAAACAAAAGGGTTGCATACCTTCATCCCCTCCTTAACTTTTCAAAAGTTTCATTGATTTGGTTCAAATTTGTGTGAAAGTATATATTAACTATTGAACACCAGCAGGGGAGAAAAAAGCCAGTCGTACATTAAACCATTTTTCTATTTTTCAGATGTCTGAAACAGGCCACTACTTCCCTTTTCACGGCAGTTCAAAAGGATAAGTGGATTTTGCAGAATTTTGGCTGTTATACAGTGCCGAAACCATGGTGAAATAGGCCAAAGATTTCTTCTTAGTTCAAGATGTCTCATTTGGAACACAGCAGCAGTATTCAGCAAAGCTGGACAGAAGAGCAATTAATTTATTTTCTGTTTCTTTAAAATTAACATTTTTTCCTCTGCTTACTCTTAAGAATATTTGTTTTTATAGACTGAAAGATTAAAGGGTGCCAATGCAAAGGTGTAACATTTTCTTCTATGGGTATTTTTATATTGCCTTTGAACTGAAAATAAATGTGTCAAACAAGATTATAACACCAGGTAAAGTTCTACTTTTTAGAAGCAGCAAATTACATGTGCCATTCAAGGCTACACTCTCACATTTCCTGAGATTTCTATCTTTTAAGGAGTTTGAAGAGCTGACCAAAGTAAATACAAGGTTTTTTTCTAGCTATTTCTGGAATTCTACTTATTATTATAGAATACTTTAAAAAATCTTTTTATATTTCAGCCATTTCTAGATATACCTTTCTCCTTCCTCTATCTACATCTCAAATGAAACTTGTAATAAAAAGAAAAACATTTAAGCAAAACAACATCCTGCTATTTGACAACATAAGTCACCAACTTTTCTTCTCTTCTCCAAGATCATGTTTAGTCATTTTTAATACATAGCTTTTGACTTTGTTTTTATCATTATGTTTATTTACATTAGTGTTTTTCTGGTTCTGCTTACTTCCCTATGTGTGTTAATACAAATCTTCCTACATTTCTCCAAACTTCTCATTTAGCATTTCTGAAAACTGTCAAATAGTTTTAAGGTATTTCAGACATGATTTATTTTATACCCAGTATTTTTTCAAGGCAAAACTAAAAAATGTTTAGGTCACTGAGGATTTATTTTGACTTCTTCCATTCATTTATGAAAAATCTGAGTAGTGTTTAATCTAGTACAAGGTCCCTGGGGCAAAGAGAAGTGCATTTTAAAGGTCAGGTGTCTGATAAATATGTATCTCCTTTTCCCACCCTCTCAATTCTTGGGAGATGAATAACTATCTTCCTTTCCTCAGCCTTCCCTCCTCCCCAAAAATGTTTGACCCTTACTTCCTTTCAACTTCTTCCTTAATGGAATACAAAATTTAAATAAAACTGAGGTTTGGGGAAAGCACAATAGTAAGCCATTGTCCTCTTTGCAACATAAGTAATCACTACAAATAGCTTATTTTCCCCAAGGCGCATTCTCCAAAAGTGCTCCATGTGCAGATCTTTCCTTCACTGACTTAGGCCACAACTTCCAGTGACCCTGGTCATTCTTTCCTCAGCCTGTGTTGTATCTTTGTGTATCTTTGTATAAATTGTTCCAAAGCACTAAACATTTAATAAACCAGTCTTCTTTAAAAAAAAAAAATCTTATCCCAAAATGAATTCCTATGGTTAGAACTCTGAATCCTAAAGGCTCTGTCACAGTCACTATCCTCTTTATAGAGGTTCCTAATTCTAAACACCAAATAACCGATCTTAAACTATTTATGATTGTGAGAAATTAGAGGGGAAAAAGAGAGCCTGGCATAGTGGATAAAGAACTAGGCTTACCATCAGGAGGACCTAGGGTTTGAATTCCTCCTCAGTAGTCTCTGAAACACACTAGCCAAGTGACCCTGGGCAAATCCCTTAACCTTTCAATGCTTTAGGCAACTCAAGACTGTAAGTTGCAGATCTGTATTAAAAAGGGAATTTCCTTTACCACTTGAAATGAGTTTAGTCTTTTTTTTTTTAAGGACTGTGTGGACCCATCATGGTGGGGTGGGGGGCAGGAATCTTCCTTGTTTTGAACTGATTCCTTTTAATAAATCTAGTTATTAAGGATGCACTGTTTTATGCAGATGTTGTTTGCCTTTTAAATGAGTGTGTGTGTGTGTGTGTGTGTGTGTGTGTGTGTGTGACAGAGAGACTCTCATAGGCCATTTTAACGGCACTGTATTTACTCTGGAACTTTCAACAAAGAAATCCTGAAAATGGCATAGAAAATGTTTTAAAATATCATTTGAGATGGAAAGAAGGCTGTTTTGGTCAAGTTTTGCTACATGTTTTCAAAATTATTTTCCCATTCATATGTGATCATTTTGATCCCCTTGTTTTAACTCTACTTGTTCTTTGTGAGGTAAGATGCTTTACTGCACTGTAGAATGTAGCCCTTCTTCATATTTCTAAGCATTTCATTGATTGCAGCTTTACTAAGAAAAGCCTTTAGGGTGACAGTTATTAAAATACGAGAAGTCAGAAGTGAGAGAGTAGTATAGATGGAGAAGGAATCACCTTGGAGTCAGACCAGTATTCACATCTTGTATATACACACACACATACATATATGTATGTATATGTGTATAGGTAGATATCCCTGAGACCCCAGATCAGGTAGATAGAAATATATAGTTATGGACAGATAGATAGATATACACACAGACAGGCTGTATGACAGTGGCTAATTCATTTAACCTTTTAATACTCCAGGAAAAGTTCTGACCCTGTAAGTTATAGATTACTTTTACAAGGTTTGCAGAATAATTGTTGCAATAGCTCTATGAGGAGGATAATGCAAGTATTATTCCCATTTTACAGATGAGAAAACAAGTTCAAAAAGGCTCACAACCATATAACTTGTAAGTGGTAGAGCCACTAGAGGGCTAAGAACCTGGTGAGGAAGTATGGAGAACAAGGAAAACGCTGTAGCAGTGTGCTAGGAAGATGCCATATTTGTATTTCCAACAGTACCAAATAACAGCTATGAATGTATGAAATGCAAGCTTGTCCAGCAAAAAAAGAAAGGAAGGAAGAAAAAAAACACTTGAAACAAAGTTAGATAAAATAAGGAGCTAGAGCATAATATATTATGCTTCAGCTGAAATAAAAAAGGCAAGGGTTGCAATCATGATTTCACAAAGCAAAAGGAAAAATATACCCAAGTAAAAGAGATAAAAAGGGAAACTACATTTTGCTAAAAGGTACCAAAGACAATGACTTAATACCAATATTAAATTCGTGCACCAAATGGCATAGCTGTAATTCTTTTTTGAGAAAGAAAATTTAAATGAGTTCTAGGAAGACATAGAAAGTAAACTATAATAGCAGGAGACCTCAGTTTATTACTCTGAAACCTAAATAAATCTCAACAAAAAAAGAAGTGAATGACTTGAATAGATTTTTAGAAAAGTTAAATATGATAGCCTTCTGGAGAACACCGAATAGGAATGGAAGGGGTATAGCAGTATCTCAGCTATATATGACACCTTCACAGAAATTGACTATATTAAGACATAAAAACCTCACTAACAAATGCAGAAAAGCAGGAAAATTAGTGATATTTTTTACTGACTATAATTCAATAAACTTGTTTTCAATAAAGGGCCTTTTGAAGCAAAGATTAAAAATGAACTGGAAATTTAAACAATCATTTCATTAAAAATGATGATGAAACAATGTGTGAAATTTTGTAGGAAGCATTCAAAGCAATATTTGGGAAATTTTCTATTTCTAAACAACACTATGAATGAGAGAGAAAGAGACAAACAGGCATGCAACTAAAAAAAAAGAAAACGAATTAAAAAACTCCTAATTAAATACCAAAATGTAAATCCGGGGGGGGGGGGAAGAGATAATAAAATTAAAAACAAAGACACAGTTAGACTAATATATAAAATTAGGAACTTTTTTCAATAAGTAGATAAGCCATTAGCTAATTTGGTTTTTAAAAAAGATCAAATTACCAATATCAAAAACAAAAAAGATAAACTCAAAACCAAAGATGAAGAAATAAAAACAATAATTAGAAACTGTTTCACCCAGCTATATACCAATGAAACTAACATTCTAAATGAATATTTATAAAAATGTAAATTGTCCTGATTAATGGAACAGACTAGAATATTTTAATAACCCTATCTTAGAAAAATAAGTGGAACAAGCCATAGATAAACTCCCAAAGCAGGGCGGGGAGGGAGAGGACAGAACCATTTGGATTTATAAGTGAATTCTACCAAACAAGAAAAATTAATTCCAATACTACATAAATTATTTTTAAAAGTAGGAAGACAAAGGATTCTACCAAATTCCTTCTGTGACATAAATACAGTCTTGATACCTAAAATAAGGAGAGTTAAAGAAAGAAAACTATTGACCAATTTCCCTAATGAATATTGATACAAACATTTTAGATAAAATATTAACAAGGAAACTACAGCAATATAATCACAAAAATCATATACTATGACCAGGCATTCAGGGAAGTTTGAATATTAGAAAAATTATAAAATAATTGACCATATTAACAAAAATCATATTATAATTTCAAAAGATGTAGAAAAGGCTTTTGATAAAATGTGATGTTCATTGCTGTTTTAAAATTTTAGAAAGCAAAGGAATCCGTGTAGCTTAGCTTAGAGTGACAAATCGTATCTATCTAAAATCGAGTCAGCATTATCTGTAATGGGGATAAGCTGGAAGGCTTTCCAAGAAGATCAGGGGCAAGGCAAACATGTCCATTATTACAATTACTATTCAATTTTGTACTAGGAATACTAGCTATAGCAATAAGAAAGGAAAAAGAAATTGAAGGAATAAGTACAGGGAGAAAAGAAACAAAACTCACTTTTTTTGCTTTTTAGGCAATTGGAGTTAAGTGACTTGTCCAGGGTCACACAGCTAGTAAGTGTCAAGTGTCGGTCTGAGGCCAGATTTGAACTCAGGTCCTCCTGACTTCTGGGCTGCTGCTGTATCCACTGTGCCACCTAGCTGCACCCCAAAACACAACTTTCTGAAGACGATATAATGGCTCATTTACAGAACCCTAGAGAATCAGCTAAAAAATTGATCAAAACTACTAACAGTTTTGGCAGAGTTGCACAAAATGAGCACTTCTATATATTACCAACAAAATCAAATAGGAAGACATAGAGAAATTCCGTGTAAAATAACTGGACAATATAAATTAGTTTGGAGTCTATCCTCTAGACACATAGAAACTATGTGAACATAATTATACTTCACACAAATAAGGACAGATCTAAATAACTGGAGACATAGTAATTGCTCATGAGTAGGCTGAGCCAATATAATAAAAATGGAGTATTAAATTAATTTACTTATTCAGTGTCACACCAAACTACCAAAGAATTACTTCACATAGCTGAGGGGTAGGGGCAGGAAGAGGGGAACAAAAACAAACTCATTCTGGAGGAACAAAAGTTCAAGAATAATCAAGGGAAAAGAGGGAAGGAAAGAAGCCTATTAGTACCAGACACAAAACTTCCCTGTAAAGCTACAATCATCAAAACAATTTCTTACAGGGTAAGAAAAAGAGAGGTATTAACTTCTCGGTGGAACAAAATGTAGAAGGAAATGAGCACAGTAATCTAGTGCTTCTTAAAGCCCCAAACCCCAGCTCCGGGGGCAAGAACTCATTCAGCCACAACTGTTGGGAAAACTGCAAAGTAGTCTGGCAAAAATCTAGTTAAAGACCAACATCTCAAATCAAAATAAACTCAAAATGGATACATGACTTAGACATACAGGGTGACATCATAAGCAAATTAGTGGAGCATGGAAGAATTATCTGTAAGATCTATGGGCAGGCGAAGGGTTTGTGACTAAGTAAGAAAGAGAGGATCACAGAGAGTAAAATGGACAATGTTGATTGTTCTTGTTCAGTCATGTCCAACTCTGGGACTCTGTGGACCACAGCATACCAGTACTGTCCAGTGGGCTGTTTTGGCAAAGATACTGGAGTTGTTTGACATTTCCTTCTCCAGCTCATTGTACAGATGAGGAAACAGGAACAAACACGGTTAAGTGATTTACCCAAGGTCACACAGCTGGTGTCAGAGGCTAGATTTGAATTCAGGTCTTCCTGACTGCAGGCCCAGTGTTCTATCCACTGAGCCACCTAACTGCTTCCATTTTGATTAAATAGCTTCTGCACAAATATGACCAATGTGGCCAAAATTAGAAAAAAAGCAGGAAACTGGGGGGAAATTTTGCAGCAAGTTTCTCTAATAGGGGTCTCGTTTCTAAGATATATAGGGAACTGGTTCAAATTGATAACAAGAGCCATTTCCCAACTGATAACTGGTCATAGGATATAAGTAGACAGTTTTTAGAAGAAATCTAAGCTGTCAACCACATGAAAAAATGTTCCAGATCATTAGAGAAATACAAATTTTTTAAAATCTAAGATATCACCCTATACCCATCAGATTGGCTAAGTTGACCCAAAAAATGAAAATGACAAATACTAGAAGGTCTGTGGGGGAAAAGATACTTTAATGCATTGTTAGTGCAGCTATAAACTGTTCCAACCATTCTGGAAAGCAATTTGAAACTATATCCAAATGCACAAAAATATTTACAGCAGCTCTTTTTGTGTTGGCAAAAAATTGGAAATTGAAGGGATACATATCAACTGGGGAATGGCTGAACAAGCTGTGGTGTATGAATGTAATGGAATACCATTGTGCTAAAAGAAATGATTAGCAGGATGCTTTCAGAAAAACCTGAACTTACACAGACTGATGCAAAGTGAAGTGAGCAGAAGCAGGAAAACATTGTACACAGTAACAGCAACATTGTATGATGATCAGCTATGAATGGCTTAGCTCCTCTCAGTAATACAATGACCCAAGCAATTCCAAAGAACTCAGGATGAAAAATGCTATCCACATCCAGAGAAAGAAGTGATGGACTCCAAATAC